TGTGTGTGTGTGTGTGTGTGTGTGTGTGTGTGTGTGTGTGTGTGTGTGTGTGTGAATTTTGTATCCAGCTACTTTGCTGAAATTGTAGGATTTTTCTGATGGAACTTTATATGATCTGCAAATAAAGATATTTTGACTTCTTTCCTTCCTGTTTGTATCAATTTGATCTTAATTCCTCCACCTCCAGAGTGCTGGGATTACAGGCTTATACCACCGCCCTTGGTTTAACTCATTATTTAGGAAGGCAATCTTAATAAGTCAGCCAAAGCCCTGCCCCAGAGATCCTACTTGTTAAGATTTTACTTTAGCAGTATTCCTGTTTCTGTGATCCTCTTCTGTATCAAGAACAGCTGTGTAGATTCAGTCACTCAGTCACACTGTGCTTTATCTTTCTCAATGAAGTTTTCTATTCATGTATCTATTTATTGATAACTTTGTGATTGTTATTAAAATATATTTAAATATTTGAAATATTTTCCATTATACTTTCTAACAATAATTGGTATTTACAGAGGAATGAACTTCATTTGTTTATGTAGAATAATAATATCACTCTATTTAGGTATTTAGCAAATTTGAAAATTTATTTATGTAGGCTTTGTTGATAGATGTTCTATAATGTTCCATGAATTCAACTATATTTGATAATTACATATTAAGTAATTATTACATAAGGCATTAGATAATATATTTTAAAACATTTCTTGTCAATTTATATTTCACAATAACCAAATTGTTATAAACAAAATATCAATAATTATTAATATCAAGAACTAATGAAGGAATTGGAAACATCGTATCTCTAATAAAAATGAAAATGATAACTAGGTAACCTTCATTTGTTGTCCTAGAATTTTCTAGAAACGCATAACTACCTGAAAATAGAAAGAAAAATTAATATAAATATGTTTGCCAGAAATAGATCCATTATTTGGAGGCACTTTTATCTGATTTACATAGTTTGCTCAAAATTTTGGTGTGAAGTGAATAATGCAATATTTGACATATAACTCTTGGTTATCCCTTTCATACTTCTGTTACTCAAATTTTAGGATTTAGTTGAATTGCCAGAGTCAGTTCTTCACTGTATCAGCGTCATAAAGAACAAGAGTAAAACTGCAGAAGAGCTCTTTCTTCAGGACTTAGAAGATACTGATGTCTTCAGTGAGTACACAATATATGTATGTATGTATGTATGTATGTATGTATGTATGTATGTATATGTATATTGGAGTTGTACTTCTGGAGAACCATCTTTGAGGGCTTGCTACTACAATCAACAGCATACTTCTTGATAAAACTGAAAAGACAGGCTGTAGGATGAAGACCCAAGGTTCCCTCTGTCCCTTGCAGAACTGTACCGCTGCAGAAATTGTTTACTATAATTAAGAAGTGCAGAGTTACTGATAGAATGGAGACCCTAGTCATAAAGCTAGGGAAACAGCATTGGACCAAACCATGTCCTCTGAATGTGGGTATGTACAGCTAGGAGGCCAAGACAATCTATGGGACCTCTAACAGTGGAGCCAGTCTTTATCCCTAGAGGACAAATGGACTTTGGGAGCCCATTCCCTATGGAGGGGTACCATTTGAGCCCAGATACAGCAAGGTGGGTGTAGGCCCTCCGCCAAACAATATGACAGACTTTGAAGGTCCTTGGTGGAGGGCCTTACTATCCCTGGGGAGGAGCCAGGTAGGGGGGTTGGGGGGAATTGGGTAGGGAACATGGGAGGATGGGAGGTGGAGGGAATGGGGGGGATAGATATGTAAATATGAGTAGTAATTAAAGAATTTAATTAAATAAATGAAAAAGAAGTGCAGTTAATGCCAGCACACACACACACACACACACACACACACACACACACACACAATTACAGAGATACTATTTTTCTTTTATAGTCTTATTTCTTTTCCAAAGCTCCTATAACATAATCTGGGTCAATAAATGAAAACATTGCCTGCTTCTCCTTGTATATAACAGTTTTATGCAAACAAAATTTTGACTTAAACCACTCAAGTAAGTTAATGATAAAAGAATTTGGTTAGCAATATTATTTTTGCTCAGCTTCTTACATTTTAATGCATGCCAAAAAGATTGACCTAGTGAGAGCACAGAGACCCTAGTCATAAAGCTGGGGAAACAGCATTGGACCGAACCAATCCCTCTGTATGTGGGTGCCAGCTAGGAGTCTACGGGACCTCTAACCATCCTGCCTAGACAAGTCTCAGAGTAGCGTAACTGCCCAGAAAAGACTCCTTCTGTCATAGCTACCTAGAAGAGGCAGAGAACAGCTGAGCTGTTTTAGAGAGATTTGAGACCAGTTGAGTTGCTTTCAAGAGATGGTCTCCAACCATTTGAGTCCTCTGCAAATCATACAGTGAGATTCAGGGTTCCAGCTTTCATAAGCTATCAGTGATGCTGCTGTGAACTGTGTAGATGATCAGTGGTGGTGGTGTGAATTGTGTTGATGATCAGTGATGGTGATGTGAATTGTGTTAATGATTGGGGGTAGTGATGTGAACTGTGTTAATGATCAGTGATGGTGGTGTGAACTGTGTTGATTAAGCTGTCTTTTTACCAATCCTGTTCCTGTAAGAAACCCTTTACCTATATTCATGTAAGTAACCCCAGTTATCTTGTTGGTTTACCAATTTTGACTTTGGCACTTTGTTTTTGGTGTGTAGTCTGAGGTGGGTATAGGTTTGTTCATTCATGTCTCTCCAGCTATTGAGTGTTATCATATTATCAAGCAAGGATGATATGCATGAAAACAAAAATCATTCTAGAATATGAAAATTGTTAACAACATAGAGTGCTTTAGAAGTTTACTTGTATTTTACAAACAATGATAAATTTCTTGCAACATTTTAATAATGATTTTCTATCCTATGAAGTTCTGTTACTGACCAAGTGTGTTGATAGAAATTAAAATAAAAGGGTAATGAAAAGGTTTGAGGTTTTGACATATACTTTAATATTTGAAATTTATAGTTATTTTCCCCTTTTCTAGGCTGTAGCTATGGCAGACTTTCTAACAGTCACATGAATTTGAGGACTGGATCACCAGCTGAATCAAAAGCAAATTCTGAGCAGTTAATGAAGGTTTGCATTTAACACTGGAATGAAAGTACTCACTGTCATAGTTAGGGATTTGTTGTCGTTTCTTACATACGAAGTCAGTAATTTGATTATTTTAAGTAAATCAAATTTGGTTTCATGGTATTCTCTGGCATACTATATATACCATACAAATTCAGTCATTAAAATAGTGATTTTATCAATAATATTTGGGAAGTGAATGTTCATATACACAGAACACTAAAATAACATTGCATTTATCATTTCTGAAGCAAAACTGAATGTATTGTATTGCTTAGGGTTTTTCACATGAAAAACTACTTTCAGGGGAGTACTTTAAGTACCTCAGAGAATCTTCAAGAGTAGAAGAGTTTGTATTACTTTTGGAAAATAACACAGGAGAAAATTCCTGGAAAAATAAAAGTAAAGTCTAGCATTTTATAGGTTGAAACCTCAAAAAATGTGTTTTGAAGAATGTATTTGAAAGATTTTCTTCTTAGATTCAGTTAATAATAATGATCTATTTTGTCTAGCACTGTTCCTACTTTGTAAGAGTTGGAGCATAATTTGAAAAATATTTTGTTTCCTTTTTATTCTTTTTTGTTAACACGGATTTGAAATGATAGTTTTGAATTTTGTTACTTCATTGAAGATATCCTATATATTTTAAACCACGGTGAATACATAGTTATGTAATACTTAGTCAAAGCTATGTACATAATTCAGGTTTAAGTAGATATTGTTTATCTTTGTATTATACTGAATATATTAATAGCCTGTATACATGAACAATAATAGTAGATAACAAAGACAAAAATTCATCAGGAAGTAAGGTAGACATATTTTGAAGTGATCATTAAGCTTATTAATTGGCTATTATAGATTAATATTGATGACTTAGTTGGTAAAACTTTAAGAGGATAAATATATTTATAAAGAAAATAATTATTAATGTATTTGAAAAAGTCTACAGTAAATCACATTCTCACTATGTGTATTTAGACATTTTACACAGTAATTTGATTACCAAAAAGAGAGTGATCAGTGGACAAATCAATGAATAGTATATTCGTATATTCTTTCCTAATTATTTCCTCCATCTCTATGTTAAATTTACAAAAAGTAACTTTATTTCAATGATTAAAAATTTAGAATTGGAAGAATGTAATAGTGTAAACTAGACTAAAAGGCATCTTAGTAAATTTTAAAACAATTTTTAAATTACTAATTTTTTAAATTTATTTTTTACAATCCAATCCCAGATCCCCTTCCTCCTCTCCTCCTACTCTCCCTTTCTTTCCCCCATCCCATCTCCCATCCACTCCTCAGAGAGGGTAAGGCCTCCCATTGTTTTATCCTATTCTGTATTTCTTCGATAATTAAATAATAAAGATACTATTTTAACCTCCCAGATATTATCTGTAATAGAAAAGGAAGAATTTATGAGAAGTCTAACTCATTCTGCCATGTCTGATTCTGCTCCTGAGCCTCTTGCTCTTGACACACCCATGGATGAATATATTTTACCAGGTGGGCAATATTCCCAGGTATATGTTCAAAATTTTTAATATGATGTATCAACGTGCATTTAAAGTTTTTCTTTGTGGCACTTGTAAATACACAGTTACAAAAATTTTAAAAACTGAAAGTTATTATTCCTCAATAAAATTCTTGCCAGCTGAATTCAAGAACACACCAAGAAAGACATGGGGTGAGTTGGAAGAGAGATGGGTAGGGCTGGAAATGATATGAAATTTTTAGTTAGTTTTTAAAAGTCATTCACTATCATATTGGCCTCATTCCAGGGAGGCAGGGATGGTTCAACACATGTAAATCAATATATGTAATGCAGAATATAAGTGAACAAAGGACATAAATCACATACATTACCTTTCATATGGAAAAACAAAAGACTATTAATGAAAATAATCCTGAGCAATGTCTCTTAACTATGTCACTGAACTACACACACACACACACACACCAATTATTTTAAATTTTAGGGAATATTTGAACAAAAGTTTTTTGACTTCTTTATTGATAGTAATGGAATTCCCATGTATAATCAGAAGAGATTACACATGTGCAAAGTTGTATGTCTGATGACATCCATTTACATCGGAAAATGTATATCCATTTGCTTTGGTAATAGGTTTTTGTGGTGTGTTTATATAGTAAAAATAGATCAGTATGATAGGTTTGACCTCAAGAATAATACTTTCATTCCTCTGAATCAATACAGATGATGCCGATTTGAGTTTTGGATATTTTGAAGTAGAAGAAAGATGTAAAAAGTCTTTTGAAGCTTGGCAAGACAAACAGAAAGAACTGGAAGAAAAAGATAAAGAAACTCTTGAAGCTCAGAGTGATATAGAAAAACAGAAATTTCAAGATGATGATGAAAAGAGACATTGCTGGATAAAACAGTTTGAAGTTGAAAAGGAAAAATTAGAAACCCTCCAGAAGGTCTGGTGCTTTTCCACTCTTCCTAAGAGCATAGCTACCCCTGAAAGGCACTGACATCAGGGCTGTGATAGCAGTGGAGGAGGTGGCTTCTAATCACTCGGGATGAGAAAATGCCTGATCATGGATGGAGGGTTTAATTCTCGAATTAGTTCCCATGAATTCCTTTCGAATTTCAGATGTGAACTTTCGATCTTGGAGGCCTCTGGGGTTTATAGAATTTCGAGGAATAGCCTACATATTATGAGATTTTCAGCATAATGTATTATTCTTTAATGCCTTTTCAATAATAGGAAAAGGCAGTTCCTTTAATTATATAATGTGTTTTTTTGTAATGTCTGATATATGATACATTATATGAGACATATTAAGTTAAAGTAGTATAGGTGACATTCTCTGTCCTGCGTTGTGGGATTTCAATCCATTTAGCCAATAACTTGGGGCAGCTTTTTTTGCCTTTCCTTTCTTCTGCACAACACTTGATAGTTGTTCTTGTAAATAGTTTTGTGTTAGGATTAGAACATTCTTATTTAGATAAAAGCGGGAGTGTTGTGGGATTTTGATCTGTTTAGCCAGTGACTTTTTGGGCAGCAAGTCCTAGCTCGTGGTCTTTGTCTGTCTACATGACGATTTATAAACTGAGGAAGAAGGGTCTCTTGCTCTCTTGCTCGAACACTCTTTCCTCATATTTAGCAACTCTTCATCCATGTCTACTTAGATTTAGTTCTGTCATTATATGATACACAGCCAAACTTATGTTCTTTTCATCCTTTATCACCTCTTATAATTTATTATTTCGTGTCACCCTCAGCTACCACTGATCAGTATCAGCCTGTATAAAAACATAAAGCTGAGTTTGTGACTCATCTATTGACACCCCATAATACAAATGCATCTAAAGCTGTATGCATTGTGTTTTTCATGCATTGGGGTTCTCCAGTGTTTCCAATTAAATGAACTAAAAGCTGATGCAAAACTCTTTTTGCTCTTTCCTCATTTTATACTTATCACTCTTTAATAATTACATAGTCCACTTTTGTGTTCATATTTCTTATTGCCACTTTGAAATAGTCAAGCTTTGTTAGTGACTGGCAATATTTGCTATGCTTTCTAATTGATCTCCTACCTTCAGCTCTACTTAGTCTTCCAATTCATCCACCCAATTGCCATCAAAAGGCTACTTTTTGTTTTTTTTTGGTTTTTCGAGACAGGGTTTCTCTGTGTAGCTTTGGAGCCTATCCTGGCACACGCTCTGGAGTCCAGGCTGGCCTCAAACTCACAGAGATCTGCTTGCCTCTGTCTCCCGAGTGCTGGGATTAAAGGCGTGCACCACCAATGCCTGGCCAAAGGGCTACTTTTAATGTTAATTTTAAGTTTCCATCCTGTGGAAAGAACCCACAGCTAATATAATGTTGAAAGAACGTTCTCATTTTTATTTTTCTTTAATTGAGAGTAGTTTTTTTCCATACAATACCTTCTGATTATCATTTTCCCTCCTCGAACTCCTTCCAGTTCCTCCCCACCTCCCTCACTGCCTAGCCCCATAACCTTTCTGTCTCTCATTAGAAAATGAGCAGACATATAAAAATAATAAAATAAAATTTGATAAAACAAAACAAAGCAAATTAGAATAACATAAAACAACAAAACTATAAAAGAGCCAAAGAAAAGGCACAAAAAATGCATATTGACTCATACATGATCACACACACAGGAATCCCATAAAAACATAGAACGGAAAGCCATAGTACATACACAAAGGAAGAATAGTATTAGTACTATTAGTTATTATACAATTATTAAATATATAATAAAAACCCTGACTTAATGTTCTAAGACAAAAAACCTCCAGAGATGCCTTTGAGTTCATTTTGTTACCATCACTACTTGTGATGGTAAGAGTGGTTTGTTTCCCCCATGAGACTCCCTTGGAGAAATATAATTTTCATTTGCAAGTACTTATCAACTGGAGATAGCTTCTGGCTTAGGGATGGGGGCTTGTATCCACCCCATCTGGTGCAGACCTCCACAGGCCCTCTGTATGCTGCCACAGCGTCTGTGAATTCATATGTGCTCCAGTCTGGTTGTGTCTGGGCCTTGATAGCATAGTGTTCTTCATCTCTTCTTCTCTTATAATTGTTCCTATTCACTTCCTGCAGTGTTCTTTGAGCCCAGGGAGGGGGATTTGATGTAGACATTCCTTTAAGGGCTAGGTGTTCTTCCAATGCTTCTCACTCTCTGGATTTGATAATGACTGACCATCTGCTGTAGGAATGGGCTTTTCTGACGATGGATGAGCAAGGCACAGATCAATTAAGTACAGCAGAATATGGTTAAAATTCATTATTTGCTAAGTTCATTTAGCAGTACAGCATTGTTTGATTTCTCTTAGGTACCAGACATATCTAGGCTCAGGTTTTAGGCTTCCCAAGCAGCATCCAGTATGGCTTCCATCTAATGGAATGAACCTCAGCACAAATCAATATTGATTGGTTATTCCCGCAGGCTTTGTGCCACTATTGCGCTAACATATGTTGCAGACAGGTCACCATTGTAGATCAAAGGGTTTGTAGTTGGGTTGGTGTTTACCTTTCTCCTTTGGTACTGTGCAGAGTACCTTCTAGTATGATCATGAGCACTAAACTGTAAATGCTCTAGGTAGGCACCAGCCATACTTCTCCATGTTCAGTGAGTTTACAGATACTGTCTTCAGCATCAGTTTATGGAGAGCCACCATCAGCCTTAGCAGTAGCCTAGGTTTTTTGGGGATTTGTGACTACGTAGCCCTTTCCTGTAACTGAATGCTTCATTTGTTGATTAGAGATGTCCAGATTGGGCTTTGTATCCCCATTAATTGGTGATTTCATTTAGCTGTCATTCATACATGTGTGTGTGTATGTATGTATGTATGTATGTATGTATGTATGTATGTATGTATGTATGTATGTATGTATATGGAATCTTCTGCTCTATTAAGGTACCATACCACCCTTCAAATGCCCTTCAAATGCCCTAAATTTAGACATCTTTCCACATATTTTCTCTTTCTCTTTCACCCTCTCTTCCTTTCTCCTGTTAGATCCTCTATTACAGTCTTTAACCTAGAACATCCATAACTATTCTATTTCCCTTTCCCAGGAGATCCATCCCTGTCCATTAGTCCCTTACTCTATACCTATCTAGCTCCATCCATTTACCTGTGGATTTCACTTTTATAACAGGTGATTAGTACTCCATGTTGTAAATATACCACATTTTCTTTATCCATTAAACCACTGACATACATCTAAGCTGTTTCCAATTTCTGAGTCTTATGCATGTGGAAGTAATGAACATGGTTGAGCAAGTGAGCCAGTCTGTCTCTGTAGTAGGATGACGTGTCCATGAGGTATGTGCCCAAAAGTGATATAACTGGATCTTTAGGTAGTTCAACTCCCAGATTCCTAAGAAATCACCACACTAATTTCCATAGTGGCTGTACAAGTTTACACTACCACAATTGATGGATGATATTTCTCTTACTCCACATCCTTGCTAGCATGGGCTGTCATTTGTTTGTTATTGATAATTTATATGGCCTGTCTGACTGTTCTTAAGATGAGATCTCAAAGTAGTTTTGATTAGCATTTTCCTGATGGCTAAGGATGTTGAACATTTCTTTAAGTGCTTTTCAGACATTTTATTCTCCTCTTGAGCATTTTCTCGTTAGGTATGTACCCAGTTTTTTTTTTTCTTTTTTTAAACTGGGTTATTTTATTGATGTAGTTTTGAGTTCTTTTACATACTTTGGATCAGAGGAGTGGTTGTTAAAAATGTTTTCCCATCTGTAGCCTGCCACTTTGTCTGGATGACAGTGTCCTTTGCCTTACAGAAGCTTTACATTTCTTGAGGTCCCATTTATTAATAGTTGTTCATAGTCCCTGTGTCTTCTGTTCAGGAAGCCTTTTCCTGTGCCAATGATTTCAAGACTCTTCCTTCACTTTATCTTTGTCAGATTCAATATATTTGGCCTCAGATTAGGTTTTTGATCCATTTGGAGTTGAGTTTTTTGCAAGGTGAGAAGTACGGAGTTATTTGCATTCTTCCACATGCAGCCATCCAGTTTCAATGATAGGTTGCAAACGGTGTCTTTTTTTCCACCATGTATTTCTGGCTTCTTTATAAAAAATAAGCATGTGTATATTTGTGTTCTGATCTTCAATTTGATTCCCCTGAAGGCATGTCTGCTTTTGTGCCATTACCATGCTATTTTTATTACTACTGCTCTGAAATCTGTAATACAATTTGAGATTGTGAATAGTGATAACTTTAGCAGTTCTTTTTATCATTTAGGGATATTTTAGCTATATTTGGTTTTCACTACTAATAACTGAGGATGTGAGGAGATTTTCACATTTAATCATTGTTTATAAATGTATTGAATGAATCTGATATAATGAATATGTTTTGGTATTTGAGTATAATAATATTCTGATGTTATTCCACATTCAGCAAGACCAGGACAAAATGAATGATGAACTTCATAAAGAAGAGAAAATGTGGAAAGAAAAATATAGAGAGCATGAGGTATATATTTGATGTTTTGTATTCATATATAGTTATTTGAACTAAATTGTTTATTGTGCTTTTTAACACAATGAGCATATTAAGATATTGTTACCTATATGGTATGGAATTCAACTTATTTCTTTTTTTTTTTTTGGTTTTTCAAGCAGGGTTTCTCTGTGTAGATTTGGAGCCTATCCTGGCACTTGCACTGGAGACCAGGCTGGCCTTGAACTCACAGAGATCTGCTTGCCTCTGTCTACCGAGTGCTGGGATTAAAGGCATGTGCCACCAATGCCTGGCCTAGAATTTAATTTATTTCAACCTTAGAAATTTGTTAACCTTAGAAACTCTCACCAAAAGAGATGCCCTAAAAATAAAATGTTTAGTGATTGTATCTTTACAAGATTGAAATTCTATGTTTTAAAAATAAATATAGTATTAAGAACATTCCATAATATTTGAAGATTTAAAGAAACATTACTGTATTTTGACACAATTATTTGAGTGTGTTAAAGGATTTTGAAGTTAAAATAATATGGTTTTCATAAATATTTCAGTTTTTGTTCCTATATTTTTATATAAACTTACTTAAATATTTACAAATATAAAACAGAAAAAGGTTTTCATTAAATCTCTAATATAGTGTATATAAATTACTGTTATCCAATTGCACATTGCTTCATTTCTTTCTTTCTCTTTTTCTAAAATTTATTTATTATTTATACAGTATTCTGTATGCATTTAAGCCTGCAGACCAAAAGAGGGCACCAGATCTCATTACAGGTGGTTGTGAGACACTGTAGTTGATGGGAATTGAATACACGACCTGTGGAAGAACAACCAGTACTCTCAATCAGGGAGCCATCTCTCTGGCCCACTTTCCTTCTTTGTATTTCTTTTTTTAATTTGTATTTTGAATCTTCCATTTATACACTCCTGAAATACTATATGTATTTAAATGTAGAAATCACTAAACTTGTAAATAGAAAAATTCATTTCAGGGAAAAAAGGAAAATACAAATTGGCATGCCATCCAAACATTTGATAAGATGGATCCAACCAGTAGCCGATCAATTACACAGATAATGGATAAAGAAAACTTATATGAACATTAAAAATTCATGAATGAGTGTGACAATCTATTGGATATATAATGAGCATTTGATATTTGCTAGTATATATATTTCTGTGTCAGAAAAATCAGTTTTGAATAGTAAATATTTCCAATCTTTACCCAGTAGAAAATATTTTTACTTTAGTTTTTACTTTGAGTCTAAAATCCAGGCCTTTTTCTGTAGACTCTTGACAATTCAGTGATATAATTACATTTCAAATTTATTCATTTCAACAACTGCAATTTTATGCTTATTTGAAGCTGTAAGATTTTTCACATTATAAGTCTTACATATTTAGTAATTTTTGAATATGTGTCAAACATTTTGCTAGGTGGTTATATGTGAAAATAGCAGAAAAAATACCTGCTTCCTTGGAGATTTCTGTGCTTTGGATATCTGTGTAAATCTGTCTTGTATGTGTTGAGAGGGGGAGTGTAAAGTTAAATCTGCTATTTTTCCTATTGTGATATTTGTATTAGTATAAAAATTTTTTACAAAATTTTGTATTTTGTATTTGTGTAAAAAATTTGTATTAGGTTTAGCCCTTCAGTTTTTCTAAAGTATTTATTCTGGGATGCTTATTGGTCATAAATAGGGTTTTTTGTGTGTTTATCTGTTTTATTCCTTATATGTATTTCATATGCTTTTGACTTGAAAAAAATATTTTAGGAAAATTTTTCTTTAGGCCATCAATCACCCAGACATTTTTTTTCCTGTTTTTTTTTTTTTTTGCTTGTTTGAGTGGAAAATCCTTCTAGTGTATGTATTTTTGTAAAGTTTATCTTTATGATGAGGATTTAAGCCAGTTTGTAACTGCTTATTCTTCCTACTTGCTCAATTGCCCTACCTGCTAATATCCTTTAAATATTTTCTGAATTATTTGTGTCTGTTTACTTATGTTTTATTCTCAATTATTACAGAATCCATGTCAGGAAGTTTGAGTCCCACTCTTTCTTGGATTTTGACCTGTTTTTCTCTTTGTGTTTCCGGTGTCATCTTGATTTCAAATGGTCTTTCTACCTGCAGATAATTCCTTAATTGTTACATCATTGGCTCATAACTTAAAAGAGTATTGTCAACTCCCCAATACGACCCAAATCTTCTAAGCATTAAAAAAAAATTAATGTCCTATAAAATAAGTGACGAGTTTTTCTCATCGAATTTTATAGCAATTTGACTCTAGGTTTAGGTTTTGTGTTATTTTAATCCACTTGTAAAATCGCCGGTTAGTGGATTCTCATGGCTATTTATCTTACTTTATTTTAGGAACTTATTAGGAACTTGCATTTACAAATGGAAGAGGAAAGAGCAAGATTAAGTGAGCTACAGGAAAAAGAAAAGGCACGCTTGCTAACACTGCAGCACAATGCAGCTGTAAAAATCCAAGCTAAATACAGAGCGTCTGTAACTTACCAAAAATACAGCCCAATCATAAGAGAACAAATAGAAAAGAAGAGGAAAGAGCAGGAGTGGAAAGAGAAGGAAGCAAAGATCAGACAAATGGAGGAAGAGAGAAGACGAAGAATTGAAGAGGAGCAGAAGATTGAGGAGGGGAGAAAGAAGAAGATGCTGGAGGAAAGGAGGAAGCGGGAAAGGGAATACGAAGAGAAAAAGAGCATCCTGAGACAAGAGCAAGAGGAGCAACGAAACAAGGAAAAGATGAGACCCAGGGAAGATGCCCGCCAACCGCTGATCATTACCTGCGCTTTAGAGAAAGGGGAAGGTCATGCCAAGCGGCCAGCTGTCTCGAATGTGTCAAAGAGTAAGGATGCTATAGCCGAAGAGTTAGTGAACACCAATTCAAAGAAGCAAGAAGATGTTTGCCCGGTTCAACAGTCAAGCAAGAAAGAAAATGTCCGTAAACAGCTTACACTGAGAGAATCAATAGGAGTCAAATTAAAACCAAGTCAGACCGTTTTGGCAGAATTAAAAATGAGTGAAAAAAATGAAAACTTACCAAAATTAAAAATGAAAGAAAAAAATGAAAACTTACCACAATTAAAAATGAAAGAAAAAAATGAAAACATACCAAAATTAAAAATGAAAGAAAAAAATGAAAACATACTAGAATTAAAAGTGAATGAAAAAAGTGATAACTTACCAAAGAAACAATGTTCAGAAAAATCGGCTAACCAAGAAATTAACTTTGAAAATATAGACCAAAAAAATGAACTGAAAAGCTCAGACTTAAAAGAAAATGTCAATACACAGTGCCAGGGGCAAGAACTAAAGTCTCAAACCCAAAAAGAGCAAAAAGTGGAGCATGCCACAAAGGAGAATATGAGACAAGAAACCCAAATAATGTTTGGATACAAACCAGAAATGAATGAAGAGGACGACAATGGAGCACCGGAGATCATCAAAGATAATCAAGAGAGACCGGCTGAAAAGATAGAAAAAAAAGACATAACAGAGCAAGGTGGATCATTGTATGAGAACTGTTCTTCAGCTGCCTCCATGCAAAAAGACCTACTATTGTCGCTAATATTAGAAAATCCTGAACCTGTAGAAAGAAATGTAGCGCTAGAAGACAAAGAGATTGATTTAAAATCTAAAAGAATGGAGGAAATTCCTAAAGACAATGTGCTGATTTGTGACCCTGTGGTTATTAACTCAGATGTCTGGGTGCATACAGGAGACAAGACAAGCCAGCAAGGTGCTGTCTCAGGCAAACAGGCTTCCAGTGAAGAGGCTGGCAGTCACAGTGTTAATAGTCCCTTAGTCACTGAAGAAGGGGACTCTCCTAAATCTGAGATTAAAGACATTCCACAACAATGGAAGCAAACTAAGGCTGAAAGTGACAGTGTCCTGGCCTGCTGTGCTTCACAGATAAGTGTTTCATCTTCAGTTGAGGAGAAAAGACTAGCTTGGATAAAGTCATTTAAACCTTGGTCTGAAGTCTTTGAGCAAAATCAACTCAAGAAAACCATTAAAAAAAAGAGACTTATGAAGTGTCCAGCAAATACAAAGCCTCCTTTGGATACATCAGCCATTCTCCAGCATGGCCCTTGGAATACTTTAGAGCAGGTATTTATAGTTTGAAAACACTATTTTTTTACATTGAATGAAAAATTAATTTTCTAGAATGTAATTTTGTTTTTCAAAGGTTTTATGCATAAGATTTGTCCCCCTAATGACATATGGTCTTGTTTCAGAGGGCTTATATTTTTAAGAACTTAAGTAAAAATTCTCAGGACATTACCCACCTCAGCAGTCTAAAGAGCTTTGATTTATACTTTTCAATGTCTTGAGTTTTGATTCAAGGCCCTGTAGGAACATCTGGAAATTATGATTGGAGTTATATACGGACACAGTACTTTAGCTGTTCAGCTTTTATTCCAGATTGGGGCGAGCTGTCTAGCTTCAGTCACATGAAAACGGCTACTGCAGTGAGAGAGGCACTGACAGGATGGAAGACCCTAGATTTCCTGTATGGAAATATTATTTAGCCATATGCCATATAGTTGCAACACAAGAGCCTGGAAACACAGCATCATTTTCATTAAGTGCTACTAATTTTCTGTTATGGAGAACACATCAATCAGACTTGACACAGACACCTATGTATGAGGAAGTTTGATTGTATAATGCTTCAAACAAGTTACACTTTTATTTAACAGTAACTTGAACATCAAATATATTTAGTAAAATTTATTTCAGAGGCATGAAAATAACATATTTTTTTTAAATCTCAGTTTTAAGCAACATAGTCTTGAGCTGGCACAGCTGCCCTCTATCACTTGATTAAACAATTAATAGGGTAGATTTTACATGGTGATACCTGACCATTATCGAAGGTAAAAATTAAATTTCAGGTAACTAATAGTAGATAGAATCAGGGTAGAAATTTAAGATCATAAGAACCCTGATAGTAGTCTTCAGGAGACCTTCAGAATTACATTTTTGTGCTATAGAGTACCTAAGGACACTGGGCCATAGCATTACTTATGGAAACTGACTGTGGCAGGAAAGAGGTACCTGTTCTATCCATCAGTGTGGAGGCAAGTTCCAACATGTGTCAGGGAGAGGCTCCAAATCAAAGCCCTTTTGTGTCTCCACTGGAGTAAGAGGTTCACTCCTGGCACCATATCCTCAACATGGAATGGAAGGAAAATGACCAATGGTCTGCTTTGTGTCACCATCTCCTCACCTTGAGACAAGTAGAGCCTATCTTGATCTCAATGAGGAACTATGATACTGAAGATTAACTTCATCAGAGGACACTAGTTTCTATTTCATGAGTGTGGAAGAAGAGCACCCTCTTAGGCAGCAGAGCAGGACTACAGACAGTGAACTATTCACAAGTGGCGCCACATCTTCTACGGGTGCTTTTCATGAAAATATTTTTTATGAGTCTATAGCATTTTATGTCTTCATGCTTTTTTGCCCTTATTTAAAAACAAAATTGACAGGGTCTTGCCTTGAGGAACATACTGTTCTTAAACTCATGATACTCCCGCCTCATATCCCATGTGCTGGGCTCACAGACCTGCACTACTATGGATGTTTATCCTTTTAATTGCTTTAGGTCAGGGCATTGTGTATGCCATTCAAGTGTTCTCCTACCAAGCTAGCCCAGATTATATTCCTTCTTTTATATAGATAGCCCAGACAAATCAACTTTTATTTTTATTTTTATTTTATTTTATTTTATTCACTTGGAAGTTTTTCATTTGTCTAATATATTTGACCAGTAATTATTGGTGAGCTAAACAGAAAATGCAGACTCTTGTCCCTTTGGAACATAAGCAAAGAAATGCTCCATAAATTTTGACTGCCATAAATAAGATTCCTGTGTATTCTGTGAAAGGAAAAGAAATTAATTTGGTTTGTTGATTTACTTCCTTTCTGTATTCAGAATTGAACTATGCTAGCTAGCACGAACTCTACAACTTAACTATATTCCTTGCCCTTTGGTAAGAAAAAAAAATGTTTTGAGACAGGGTCTCATGGAATTTCCCAGGCTAGCTTTGAGCTCACTATGCAGCATTGTAGGCTGAAAGACTCATGCTCCTACCTACCTCAAACTTCTGACTTCGTGGAACTGCAGGACTGTACCACCAGTTCTGGCTGGTGATGAGGTTTAGAAGAGACATCTTGGTTGGAGAAAAAGACATAAGGAACAAGAGCTAAAATGTCATCCGTTTCCTAGTTGGTGCTTGGCCATGGCTGTCAGCTCTGTGCATATACATAAAGATCCTCTCTGTGGTTCTTCACTGGTTTTTCCTTGGATGCTGCTTTTTCTGGGGCCACTCTTCCTATAGTCTTCTTTCCCTAAGTTTGTTTCAGGATTTTCAGTGTGATTACTGTAGCCATTACTTGCAAAAACTACCCTCATGTTTATATCTTAGCTACAGGTGACAGTTCTAGGTCAACAGTATAGCCTGCTTTGAAAGTAAAACTTAAGTTAGAGGAACTGAGTACTTGTTCCTTGTTACTAGCTGGTCTCTGTCCTATCAGTGAGTAGAATACTGACGTTTCTTCTGAATGTTTCTTCTATCCATGCCCTGCTATTTCTTGGGAACTCCTGTCAACTTCCACAAAAAAAGGGATTAGCTCTCTTTACACCTTTTGGAGTGACACTTAATCATCTGAGGGCCTCATAAAATGCCAACTAAGTCTTGTGGTTAAGGGGTTGAACAAATATTACCTATTATTCAAGTCTCTGAAGTGATGTGGTTAACACTAGCAGGTAGGCTGATTTGATTAGCTGTGTCTACAGGAGTCTATCATACTTTCACTGTCACTAAAGCAACTGAGGCAAATATTTTATAAAAGTGAAAAATATGTCCTGAAAATACTGAAATTATAGAATACTCAATTGTTTCCAGAAAGTTTCTGTAATTTTTCTGTTTGATAGGTAGTTTATCATAGTATTTTATTCAACTGCTGTAACTTTCCTACTTTGATTGTCTGATCATTTAGCTTCAGATCTTTGTGCCTATCCTGATCTCACAAACACCATCTTTGGAGGCATTTTTTTTTTAAAGGCGGTGTCGGGAAGGTGTCAAAGTATGCTCCAACTTAGGTTAAATTCAAAGTTACTTCTTAATTAAATCTCTAAAAGATTATAGTGAGTTTGAGTCATATATATATATATATATATATATATATATATATTATTTGAGAAGCTATGTATGATTAAATGAAAAATAGTAATAATTATGAAGATAATGAGTTGACAGTTCATACTCAAATCACAAGAGTTTGAGACACAAAATTTTCCCATATGTTTTTATATTACCGCTATAAATATATTTGAATCTTGCTACAAGTTGAAACAATTCTTTGTTTTTTAATTTTGGAAACATTTAGTCAAATTCCTTTGTCTCAACTGATATTTTTCAAGCAGATTAAACAGTGATGGATACATAATGATTACTAATTCTATCTGAATTTGAGGGATAGAAGACAATTTAAAGCATGTGATTTCTATAATGCATGTGTCAAACAATAAATCTGACATGTATTTTGATGTCATATGTTTAAAAAACTTTAGCATGGTGTATAAGATTCATTCCTATATCACAGGGACTTTTAAATGTTCAAACAAATGGAAGGAATACTGTGACACTCCCCACATGTAGCCAAAGATAGATGTCTGTGCCAAGGTGCCCATGTAACCTTCATTTATGAACTGTAATGAAATGGAACTACAGAAATTACAGAGATTGCCCCCTCATAAGTAACAAAAATCTGATTCTGACTATATAGTTGACTGAAATCGGCATGCTGTCAAATAGGCAGAATAATGTGTTTCATTATTGCATAGCTTGCTGCAATTGTCAAATTTTGAGTTATTCAATTCTCAGTCTGTTTTCATTTTCTAGTGCATAACCACTATCAAATTATAGAATTTATCTGCTTGCATTCAAACTCAATAAGAAGCACATTTGCCATTGTCATTTAAGTGGATTATACATTTTCATGCCTAAAAAAATTGAAAGGTAATTGGTTTCAAGGATTTCTTTAGGCAATTAATACTTGCTACACATGAGATGATTATAAAATAGAACCTTTAATTACCTGAAGTTGAAGAAATATGTTATTACTTTTGTTGGTTAAGCAAGAAATGGGCCAAATGTTGTCTGTGTAACTCCATCAATGTATGTCCTTGTCAGAGATCCAGGAATCTCAATTCTATTGTTGGACACATAGCATAGACATTTATGCTATGTTATACACAGAAAAGTATTTCAAATCTTGAAGACAACAAAAATTTGCTAAAGCTGAGGGAGAAACTATATAAGGATTGCCACATTGCTTTCATGTACTTTACCTTTCATGTACTTTACATTGATTATGAATGAATGTCTTGATTTTATCTTGCTAATGTGCAAGAAAAAGAGACCATATAGGTAGAGTGAAACTGAGTTCTTAATAAAGGTAGGATTCTACATATACAATTTCTTGAGTGAATTTTTGAACACCTTTGCAAGAATATATTCTGCTGTTCAACGGTGTCACTCATCACACTCTCCTTGAAATGTCTAGGTCACAGCCATTACATTTCAGGATTTGCCCGGCTGCAGCCTCTCTACACTGGCAGAGTGCACGAATCTTCAGCTTCTGTCCCTCCAACGCTGTGGATTAACTTCCTTGCACGGCCTGAACCACTGCAAAAACCTCAAGTATATCGATGCACAGGCAAGTTGCTTGTTGTTATCATTTCCCATCCAATAAATACTAAATGGATGCATGTTTAGATTTCAGACATGATAATTTTGAAGAAGCAGTAAAATAACTAGCTGAATATTTTATACCTGTTGACTTTGTCTCTTTTATAATTGTCACATATTAGTTAGATTGAGAATTTCCAAAAATCCTTTTTTTTTTTGTTTGTTTGTTTTGGCTGCATTGTTAAGGAAGTCTCAAAGGTGAGACTATCTTGTGGCTGTTAGAGGTTCTTTCCAAGACCGAGAGTACATCCAGACATGTGCCAGTGTGCAAGTGCACATCAAGCATCTGTCTGCATAATGTCACCCAATGTTTCATTGGCTGAGCTCTGAGTTCATGTGGGAGGGAACCACATGTGTGCCAATACTGGGTTATCAGGTTTTTGTTTGTTTGTTTTTTTCAAGACAGGGTTTCTCTGGGTAGCCCTGGCTGTCCTGGAACTCACTCTGTAGATGAGGCTGACCTCAAACTCACAGAGATCTTCTTGCTTCTGCCTGCCAAGTGCTGGGATTAAAGGCATGGGCTACCCTCGCCCGTCGGGTTATCAGATTTCTAAGAGACTATGAAACTAGTGTTTCTTTACAATCTACCACACTATGTCTTCTGATGGTTCACATCGAGAAAATAGCCTCATGTCCCAAAGACCACAGAATCTTAATAGTTCATGCCATTGGTTCAGGAACTTTGCATCTATATCAGATCCTGGTGGAGGAGAGCTTCTCACTGCCCTTTCTCAGGTACTCTTGTGAAAGCATGGTCCTTACATGCCAGAGAGATGTTCAGTGAAATGGAAAGATATCCTCCCTCATCCTCTCAGGAATAATGGTGAGAATGGGCTCAGTTAATCACCACAACCTTTCCCATCTGAAGCACAAGCAACATAAATAGCAAATATTCCACTGCATTCATTTGGGTTGTTTAGAAATATTTTGTTGTATTATCTTCCATATTATTAAAGAATATTAATCAAATGTAAAAATAGCTAATTCTTTGTAGATTTATTTTTTCTTCTTCATAGTATAGTTATTTGCATGATTATTTTAGAAATTAGACTTATGTGTCAATTTAGACATCATATCTCAACTCTAATATTTTGAAAGAATTAAGTATTATATTTATAAGATAAGACATTGAAATAAAATTAATGTGTTTGTCCTTTCTTTGCTTTAGGAAAACCAAATTGAGAGCGTCAACTGTGAAAATTTGGAAAATCTCTGTGTTGTTCTTCTTAATAAAAACCTGCTGACTTCTATTCATGGTTTGGATGGATGCACTAATATTCAAATTCTTGAAGTTTCACATAACAAAATCACTCGAATCAGTAAGGTCAATTTTAATATTTAGACATTTATTTTTTGTAATTGCATTTCGTTCCATTTACTCACCTTAGAAAAACCCTGTCATAAAAACCAAAACAAAGCCAAAACAACAACAAAAAACTCTGGGAAGATGTGAGAGCAATGCTCAGTTGTTAGAAGGCTTAAAGTTCGAGCTTGAGGACATGAGTTTGGATAACAGAATCCATGTAAATGCTGTGTGGATGTGGGCAGCTACCTGCAATCCCCATGTAAATGCTGTGTGGGTGTGGGCAGCTACCTGCAATCCCCGTCCCTGAAGCAGGAGGCAGACTAATGCAGGATGACGCCTTCAACATCAACCTCGGGCCTTCATGTGCACATGCAAGCATATGCGTGCACATGTATCCACAGTGTGCCATATGTACTTTAAGGTGCCTACAACATGCATGCTACATACACACATGTGCACACACATATAGACACATGAGAAGTGAAACGCAAGTCAGGCTTGAGAGCATATATTTGTAATCTCAGTGGAAAGGAGGTGAGGACAGCTAGGAATCCTGAGACAACCTGGCCTCAATACAATGCTAATCATATAATCATCAGAATCATACAAACAGCCCCCACCCCTCCACACACAGTAGGCCACTAGCCCTGATTTGCATATTTTACTATTTTCATACCTATTTAATCTAGATTAGAAAAAAATGACATTATTTAAATATACATTAAAACAATACAAATTATGTGTCCTAAGTGAGTAGCTTTTAGTAGTCCCCAAAGTTAGGACATTCCTTTCTTGGTTCCTTTTCTTATAAAAATGAATTAAACTCCACTGGGGAATTTAAAAGCCATTTCTCTGGCCTCATTTTATTGCTGCTGCACACGACACACTTCTCAGCATTTGCAATAATATTTTTCCTATTTATTTGCTGTTTGTTACTAACTAGATCACTTGAAGTGACCCCTCCCTCTTTCACGGAGGTTGCTAACATCACACAACATAGGGTATTAGGGTGAATTTCCCCTGAGTCTCCCAGTAACTCATAACTAAATGTGCATAGCTGTGAATCTGAAACTATCTATTTTATACTTTAAAACACATGCAGCTTAAGTTTTAGCATCAGATACTCAAGGACCCTGGTAGGGACTGAACAGTTAATAAGCAATCAAGGATTGCCAAATGGTGGGAACTTGATGAAAGTCTGCCTCTGATAGCTCTACAAATAGCTTAAACTTTTGCTTCACCCCCCCTCCCACTGTGGATATCATCTTACCTTCTCTGCTATCTTATTAAATCTGACTGCCATAGGGTGGGAGTGGAGTATGTTTAGGAGATGAGTCTATACTCAGTCCGTTTAGGTCAGGTTCTATTTATATTCCTTGACATTCCTTCTGTGTATTTGACTATATTTGCTTTTTTCTCTTTGTTGAGGGAAAAATTTTAAAGCCTTTATGAAAATAGACTAACAAAACAGAAAATCCATATACCCATTAACATATGTTCAGGGTTTGCCTGAGCTTTAATTATTTCTGCTTTAGTTTTGAAAAGAAACCTTAAATGTGATTCTTTTTGTTTTTGAAGAAACGGTTTCTGAGAATGTGGTGTCTTTACTTTACTTTACTTTACTCAAAATATATATATATAAAAAATATATATATATATATATATTTTGAGACAGGGTTTCTCTGTGTAGCACTTGCTCTGGAGACCAGGCTGGCCTCAAACTGACAGAGATCCGCCTGCCTCTGCCTCCCAAGTGCTGGGATTAAAGGTGTGCGCCCACAGTACATTATTACATCTAGTAAACCTATTAATGGCTCCTTTTGTGAGCCAATATGGAATCCTATTCTTTTTCAAAAGTGTCACATTTATTTGAATAATAGCATGAATAATAAACACTTTTCATCTATCAAGATCCTGAGTCCTGTGTCAGTAGCAACCCTCTTGTTATACTCATGCACTTATTGTGGCAAAACCTACTGGTTTTGTGCATGTCCTTCTTTACAGTGTCATTGAAGTTATTTCTCTAAGTCTGACATAAGAGTTTGATCAAATTTGATTTCAGCTGAATTGACAAAGACTTCTTCATAGAGGCTGTTCCGTGCTCTACCTAATCCCAGTGTATGGTCTTCCCTGCTGTGTTGTTAACCTACCATGGGTTACATTATTAAAATTGAGTCTTCCTTCCCCAGTAGGTATCCAATGTCAATAGGTCCTCAGCTAGTTCTGGAATTCCATGCCTGTTTTCCCACATCTATGTGTGACTTTTGTCTGGTTTGAGCTAGTGCAGGTCTTGTGCATTCTGTGAAACCACTGTGAGTTTGTATGTGCAGCTGCCCTGTTGTTTCTGGAAAATACAGTTTCCTTAATGTATCTCCTACCTCTGGCTCTCACAGCCTTGATACTTCCTCTTTCTCAAAGATCTCTGAGGTTTGGGGAAGAAGTGTGATATATATGTCCTACTTAGGCCTGAACATTCCACAGTCTCTTGTTGCCTATAAGTTGACAAATTGAGAGCTTCTGTGCTAATTGACATCTATTGAAAGGAGAAGCTTCTCTGTTGAGCATTGAAAGATGCTCTGATCTATGAGAGTAGCCATAAGTCATTAGAAATAGTTTTATTATTGTGTCCATTTATCAGAAAAATAGAAGTAGGATTCTCTTCAGCGTCCTTTGACTAATCTAGCCACAGGTCTGTGACCCCTTTTGCAGTATCAGGTGGCCATCTCGTAGAGGAGGATTCAAATTCAACCAGAAAGTGGTTGGTTACTCCTGTGACATTTGTGCCATTATTGCACCAGAGGTTTTATCTGGCCAGGCTAGTCATTATTGAAGCTCACACAGTTCACAGTTGGATGAACTAATGATTAATTTTTTATCTCCAGTAGCATGCATAATACTTGTAGCACCATGAAAATTAGCCAATAAAGAGTTAGCCTCCATGTGAGTATTGTCTTGTTTTATCCATATTGTTTCTTCAGCAATAAGATTTATGAATGGAGCCTTCAAAATTTTTGATGTGCCTTCCTATCTGGGTTATCTTAATAAGGAGCATCCTTCTCAGGCATGCCCAGATTCTAACTTATCAAGACCATACTTCCCAGACAGGACCAGAGGTTCATATATATCATATTTTGAGTGATGTTCTTTAAATTTTTCACTTGTAATGGAGTTTTACACCAGTCCTTTTCCATGACTGCATATTATCTTTTCATTGTGAATTACTGACTGATGTTAGGTCAGTTAATTTGCTGTGATTTACATTGCAGGCCAAGGAGTACCTGTGATTTAGAAGAGTCAGTGGTGTACTCCCTCAATATGTGTAGTGTTATTTTGCAAGTCAGATAATGAGTATATCGGTTTCTTTTCTGTTTATTGCACTGTTCATTTTTATTCTCAGACATTTTGTTCTAATATTGTGTATATGTTGACATAAATACTTAAACCTCATATATTCCTTTTTGCAGGTTCTGATATGTATTTTAATTAGCTCCGTAGTTGTAGTTTGTCCTTTTTCTGAAGACTTAAATTTCTTTTTAAAAATCTTTATTATTATTCTTTCTTATATCCTTCTCATTTTATCATAGCCAGAGAAAAACTTGTAGTTCTACTCTTCAGAATATTGCATTGCTTTCTTGTCAGTCCTCAATGGTGGTGTTTTAATGACTGTTTAATGTGCCTTGAAAAGGAAGACCACTTTTATTTTCCATTGGGAGACACTTTTCTTCTATAAGATGTGTCTCAGTTATTTTATTTAATCATTCTGTTTATTTGATTTGGTGTTAGACTTGTGTGGTTGTCATGTTTTAAATGTCAGTTAATTATTATTATTATTATTAATGTTAATAATAATATTATTAGCAACACATTGCTTTGTATAGCCTTGGCTTTCTCTCTGCTTTAAGACTTTGGATTTCCCTGTTTCAAAGAAGACAGTGTTATTTTTATTACAAATTTCAGCTTTGAATATTATACTTCCATTTTTGTCTGTTTAATGTCCTTGAAACTAAATCTCATTTTTCCTTTATGGATTTTTGTTTTTTCCTACTGACCGTCTTCTATTTTAAATATTATTCATCTAGATATTTATAATCATAAGCATAGATTTGGATATACCTTTTTGATCCATGTTTAAAGTTTTCTGTCACATAGGTCACTGTCATTTTTAGTGATCACAAACATTTTGTTAGGTTTGAGCTCTGTCATCATATTCAGCATGGTGTTCTCTCTTGCCAGAGGGAAGTCTTGAAAAGTTTCCCACCCACCAAGTGCCTCCTCTCAGTTCCCACAATATTCCTTCTGCAAATATGTTGGTTCAGACTGGATTATGTCAATTGTAAAGCACTTGCTCTTGTACTAAAGTGTCAGGTTTGGACATTTTTCTTGTGTTTCTCTTCACACCAATCCCCTTCTGTTTCATGTTGGGAAAGAAAAACATCCTTATTTTCAAAGCCATCTTCTTTTCAATCATCTTAAAGGGTATACTTTAAAAAATATGATTCCCTCATATTCTGTTCCTGTCTGTGACTACCCATGAATTTTTCCAAATAGAAATACTGAAAATATTGATACATTTTTGTTTATTTTGAAATTCTAGTATAAATGCATATTGGAATAATGATTTCTCAATGGAGGCAAGAGCCTTGAAAATGTATTACTATGAGGGTACACACTAGAGTATGAGAGCAAAGCTAAAAAAATAAACAAAAAAACCCAAGAACAGACACTGTTTTTAAGAAGAATTGGTAGAGTCACCATTTTTTATTGGCAGTAGTGCTATGTGGGAATTTGTGTCAGCAATGAATTCCCTGAGACAGGATATCTGTAAGATTTATGTGAAAATTGCCACTGTTTTAATTGATGTGCCTGAGGTATCTCTGTAGTACAGAGAAAACAAGGCTGAGATGTCGTTGCTGTCTGTTGTGTGTAGCTGGACTGCTGTATTTATTGAGTGTGAGAAGAGTGTATATGTGCAAGTGCTTTCCTGACAAGCAGTGGAGTCTGTTTTTCATCTTT